CTTTAAATAATTTATTCCGTACAGTATACGTTTCTTTTAACGGAATTTATCAGTTGAAAAAGGGTAAATATTTTTCATTTCATGTTTTTCTTACTGGATGTCTAATTACCCTCCTCACCCAAAACACCTGGTGGAGGAAACGACTTAGTTACCGATAACTCTACTCTAAAAGTCCCTGACCTTACAATAAGGTTCATCCGACCTTTCTATACAAGTTTTAATTCTGCTGGATGTCAGATTACACCCAAAAAGCCAAGTAGAGAAAACTGCTTCGTCACCGATGACCCGACTATTCGGGCTGTTGACCGCTGACCTTACGAGAAGATTCCTCCGCCATTTCTACACATCCTATTTTAAATTCTTTCTGGATGTTTTATTACCCTCCTCCACAAAAACGCCTGATGAAGGAAACGGCGTATTTACCGATGACCTTACAAGAAGGTTCATCTGTTCTTTTTATAAATCTTGTTTTTTGAATTCTGCTAGATCTCGAATTAACCTCCAAACAAAAATAACAGCTTAGTCGCCTATAACCCGACCATACGGGCCGATGACCGCTGAAACTATAAGATTATCTATCCGTCCTTTTTATAAATCTTGTTTTTAATTCTGCCGGATGTATTTGCCCTTCTCACCTGAAATGACCTAAACGAAGAAAACCATTAAATCCGGCGACAAAGAGAAAGCCGGAAATTCTACGAATTTAGAGATATATAGAATTAAGTTATTGCGTTTTTGTGCAAGTGACAGAAAATTGATTAGTACAAGTATTTTGGGTTAGCAGATTTGTCTGACAGAAATGCAGCACAACCTTGTATGTTTTGTTTTTTGTTTACTATTGTTCACCCAAAAGAGGGTCTAAGTGCCACTCAGGGTAGAGAGTTACTTATTGGGGATGTTTAAGCTGGCTTATTGGGAGGATGCAAGTCTTGCATATTATGAAAATATGTAGGATAGATAACGGTTGACCTTCACCTTGAAGGGGTTAAGATTTTAGTAATCAAGGAAGCATCTCTTCTGGAATCCGCTTCCCATTTTAATAGGTCTTAGGAAGGAACTAAATTGAACTTATTCCTTACCAATCGAATAGGAAAGAAATGTGGATGAGTTGACTCAGTATACGTGTCATGGCGGGACTTAGCTGTGAATGCCTGGACTAGTGGAACAAAGGTATTTACTTCGCTCGAATGTCTGTCATGAAAATGAAACAGAGGCTAGCAACATTTCGTCTGTGGAGAAAGTGGTTGTAGGGTGGAAAACAATTCATCACACATAACGCCGTGTACATGCATTTGAACTCTGTCGAAAGTAAGGATTAAGCAGCTTCGTCCCAGATGTAACAGTAATGTTCCATTTTTGACCTGATTTGGCTCTTGTATCAATAAGAGTAAGGCAGGAGGAGTGAGGCAATTTCTCTAGCGGTAGATGGAGCATAGTATTTTTCCAGCGTCCTTAGCGATGGATTTTATATCTGAAAAGTTTGCCTAGGTGTCAAAATTCATTTGAAGAAAGGATTGTTGTCAGCATTTTTTCTCTCATTGACGACTTTTTGTTTTAGGCAGGAATGCTTGTGATTGGTTGGAATTATTCCAATTGTATGAATTCGTGTTTGCGTCTTGTAAAACAAGACATATAGGGAGCCATCTGCGCAGATTGACGTCAATCTCTAATTAACTTTCATTGTGCATATTCGGCGCAATCTCTTGTATTTTATATACTTCATTCCAGTCCGCTCAATTCTTTTCTTCTATGGGCCATATCCCTTTAGTACACAGGCGATTATAGCCATTCACAGCTTCCTACAATAGCTTTAGCAGTGTTTGTCTTTTTACCTTCCCCATCGCTATTCTGTCGTCAATTTTCGCAAGCTTGTTAGGTAGGTTTTTACTCTGCTCCTTTTACTTCCGGTATGTCCTGAATGTATGTCTGATTCGCCAAGCCCTCTTTCCTCCATTGTGTGTCCGAGTAATTTCAACTCAAATTTTTCTAATTCTAAGTATAAGCGTCTTTTTTTGTTTCCATTTTCTTCAAAACTTCATCGACGCTCCTATCTTCCGTCTCTGGTATTCTCAGCATCCTTCTATAGAACCAGGTCTCTGTTGCCTCAAGTCTCTTCATCTCTGTAGAAATTGTCTATCATGAACTGCCATATAGGCGGATTGATATTACATGACAGTTCAGTACTATTTTCATTGTTTCCAATGGAACTTTCCTGTATCTTAATACTTTGCTTAGCTTTTGGAAGGCATCTTTCTCTATTCCAATGCGCCTTCAGATTTCGGTTTCACGTTTTTGTTATTTATTAAAACATTTCAGCGATAGTTTTCGTTCTCGTTTGATTTGATCATTCTCAATTGGTAGTGTGCATCCCAGGCTGTTCCTCTTGCTGACAACAATCCATTCTTCTTGAAATCTTCTTACAAGATAGTTAGTCCTTTTTTCCTGCTTTTCTTTATTACCTTTTCTAGTTGCTGTAATATCTGGCATCAACACTGTGTTATCTGAATATGTTAGGTTGTTAAACATTTGTTATTAAATATCTTTGACTTGAATGTATATATACTGTGTGTGTGTAAGCAAATATATGGATATAGATCCGACAGTATGATAAAAAATATACAGAAAAAAAAAAAAACCAAAATCTTAATATGCAATTATGCTGTATTAATGTTGATATAATGTCAACGTCGGACGTTTCGGTCTAGTAGACCATCTTCAGGACATATTCATAAAATATAATTAACATTAGACTATATTTAATTCAACATGAAAAGACGATGGACATAAGAGTAAGACTAATCAAAACAGACAACTGAAATTTTTCAAGATCAGCGTTCCGTTTCAATATGATCACGTCGGCGTCACGTGGGCGATGTTGTGAAAACGTATTCCTAAAATAGTGTATTTTGAATGAAAAATGAAAAGAATTTTATTTTAATCTAAAACTTATATGTATGTTTGTCGAGCATTAATCTTGCTAGAAAAGGGGAAATATTAAAGAAGCCAGGTCTAGTATTCACCGTGCGTGAGATAGATATTATGCCTGCTTCATAAATCCGCCTGAGATTTTTATTATGAATATATTTTAAAATCTTCACAGAATCAAAATCGAAATTATGATCAGCTTTAGTTGTGTGTACAACTAAAGCATTGTTTAAATTTCCGAGGCGAATATCTCGTTTATGTTCGAAAACACGAGATTTTACGGACCGACATGTTTCACCCACATATTTAAATCAGTTGTTGCATGAGATTTGGTAGATGCGAGCATCGGATGTAATATGTTGGTTGCTGGTGTTATTTAATAAACTACGGATAGTTCTAGTAGGTAATATTGTAGTTTTAATTTTTAGCGCATTTAAATTATTCGAGATAAATCATTGACATTATATTAACATTAAAACTGCATAATTGCATATTAGGATTTTTGTTGGTTTTTTCCGTATATTTTTCTTCATACTGTATGTATGTATGTAATTTCACATACGTAAAAAAAAGCTAAAAAGACTCTATTATTATCGTTAATACTACTACTAATAATGCATTATAAAACCCCACAGCGGCTCAGTTTGAAAGAGTAGTCACCCTTACAGTAAGTAACTAGTAAGTTTATAGTGGTGTGGGGCTTCTGGGTCAAAATGAATAGTTCGTTTACCCACGCCTAGATGGTAAATGATGGAGGCTAATAACGAGAAATCATATCGGTAATTTTAACAAAACAAAATGAGAAATTTATTTACGAATTTACACGCTTGAAGTTGTATCAGTAGCTCGTTTCAGGAAAATAAATCAGAAATTTTTAATGTCCGTAGTTGTAACGAATTGTCATGAAGAATAATTGTTCATACAACAGATTTAATGATCTGACACAAATTATATTTGAACATTTTTAAAAGGAAGATAAGCGAGTTCGTTGCTCCTGAAAGGACTACACGGTTGCAGACTTTCAAAAGTAGACGAAAAGAAATAATTTGTAATACTTAGCTTTCTGGGATTGTTGAAGGAAAGTTCTTTAACGTGCTACGTGCTTGGCCGATAATATAATTGGCGAGCAATTCAACATTGGCGAAACTTCACTGCTGAACGCGGTGAACAGAAATGAAACCTTTCACATTACTTCACTCTTCTCTTATTAATTTTTCTCATTTTATATCAAAAAGAATTTCGCATAGGATCGCTACTTTCTTTTCTTTTTGGCTCAACGGCTAATTTATGTTAAGACAAGGTTTACATTGGTCCAAAAGCACTTTTACATAGACTTGCTAAATTATTACCGTCTTTTCAGATCACAAATCAGTTTCTGGGAAGGCAAGATTTTCATTGATCAAAAAGAAAATTTCACATAGGCTCTTGAATTCTTTTAAGCCTTTTCCCTCAGCTCACCCGAGTGTAGGGAGTGAGTAAAGGGGTTATTATTTTGCAGTCGCCACAAGTTTAATTCAAACTGGGTGCTCTTGTTTGTGGCTTTATGACAAACTAAGCTACATTTAATATATAAAAGCTCCAACTTCTCAACACTGATAATTCACCGACTGGTAACTTCTGAGCACGCAAAACATTCAACCCGACTTAAGGCGACATTTTCTTAATGAAGACCTCATTCGGTAATAAATAATTAAGCCCCAACATTGTAATTAGAAATTTAACTTTTTAGTCTTTAATGGGTCAGCTGCTACTGCTGGTAAATATATAACGGTGTAACGCTCTAATAATCTAAATAACACAATTGAAATGAATATTAATATAGTTTAAGAATATTTTTTTAAATAGCAGCAGTCGCTCAGTCGAACATTTTTCATCTGCAGAAGAGGTAAGAAATTTTTGGATTATTACTGTATCGTTTTTTTTTTTTTTTCTGACAGTTGTGACTCTTGTAAGACATTTTGACAGAAAAAAGGATATTTTTTGTGAAAATATAATCCATCCTCTTTCTTGTTAAATACAGTGTGTCTGTGCTTTTCGCATAAGGGAAAACTTTGCGTAGCTTAAGACTAAAGACCATGATATTTTCTTCTGCTTGCTTCCTCTTCAAAAACGCTGTATTTTCAGGATCTCTTTGTTCCTTTATTTTCCTTTTTTTCATTTCGATCCAGAAACTTCGGCTATTTTTGGATAAGATTCCGTTAAACTAAAAAATTATTACTTTTTTTTTCTATGAATTTTGGTTGTCCTGCTCGCTTTAAGATTTCACTTTCGTCAAGGAATGAAATGTAAGTTTTACCGTGAATGCGATCAATATCTTAAAAATTAGATTGGATTTTCAGCTTTTGAGCATGACTTTTTGTTCGACATGATGACAATGTTCTGTTCAAAGTCTAAATTTACTGCTAAACTGGATTTTATTTGCGTCTGCATTTATTCAAATATCTATAATTTTAAAATACTAAAAGTAAAACTTATCAAAAACATATTTTATTGAGTTAATAACTTGGTGTTAGATGTTGGTATCAAAAATAGGTGCCGTGTCGTAGTTAGGGAGCGATCCACCTCGGGTGGGACTTTTTTTTTTGCGGTGAGTTTTCAGAAAAGAAAAAAAAATACCATAATTTCAATAATTTTTGCAAAAATAGCATCGATAAAGAAGAAGATAAGGTTCAAATGAAACCAATTTGTCTTTCTTATGACTGGCTTTGACCCAGCCAGCCAGCAATAAAGAAAAATTGTCTCCAAAAAATGCTGTCAGCTGCAAATTTTGGGATAAAACCCCACTTACAAGTCGTAAGCAAAAGGTGTGAAAAAATTTAAACATTTTTAAAGGGTTTGGTGTGGGGTTAGATTAAGTGAATTTAGTGAATCCACAGTTTTTTCACACCTGTGTAAGAAGTTCAGACATTGGCGTTAGTTCTTTGATTTTGATTTTTCATGTCTGTGAACAGTTGGTTGCGGACCCGGCAGCGTGCAGTGCTGGTTTATTACAAAGTGGCCTTGTGCCAGACACCACACTAAGCTACCGAGTCCACAAGCAATGTATAAAAAAAAATAATAATGCGTGAATGAACAGTGAGAGGAAAGGGGTCAATCAACGAGTGCATAAATTAATAAACATCAAAGAGATAGCCGGAATAAAATGACAAAGACGTCTGTTTGTAAAACATGTGTAACTTTAATTAGATGGAAACAAGTAGATTATCTCGTGGTACGAGATCAAGGAAAAGTTCCGCGCCTAAATAGAAATGCAAGATGAACAAGGCGGGAAAAAGAGTTTTATAAGGTTCTGGAAAAAGGAACTCGTTAAACACGAGGTGTATGTGCGCACAGATAGAAAGGAGTACTCACTGTGGATTTTTTTTGGCGTTGTAAGTGTGTGTGGTATTTTTGTGTTCAGGTTCATAGTTAGAAAGAATGTTCGGTCGTCTCAGAGTTTTTGGTGAGGCATTGAATTGGCTGCTGGAAATTTTACCGGATTGATGTGGGCATCTAGCCAGGAGAAACGAAGAATGTTTGAAGCGAGTTTCATGGTCTTGTGGAGTTGTTTACGGCGAGACCAGAGAGACGAAAAATGTTTGTTCGTAAGTAAGAATATCCCTGTCTGTATTTACTGGTTCACTGACGAGGGATAAGTTCTGCTTGCGAATGTGTCGTGTCTCGAACGATGTGTCTCAAACGTTTTCTGGTCGAAAACGGAGAAGGGTCTGACCTGCGTGGCTTCAAGACGAGAAGAAGAAGTCTTGGTAAGGTTGTTTGTCTGTAGGATATCACTGTCTGTATTTACGATTGGTTCACTGACGAGGGATAAATTCTGCTTGCGACTGTGTCGCGTCTCGAACGATGTGTCTCAAACGTTTTCTGGTCGAAAACGGAGCAACTGGTTGACCTGCGGGTAACGTCAAGATGAGAAGAAATCTTGGTAAATAAGTGTGAGGTCAACATCGTTGAGATAAGATATTCCGGCCCGCATATGGGTTAAGGGCACGGAATAAATGAGTTGCCCGTCTAGTTAGGTCGAAAGTCGGGAGGCAACTGGTTAGGTCGAAAGTCGGGAGGCAACTGGTTTTTTTGGCGTTGTAAGTGTGTGTGGTATTTTTGTGTTCAGGTTCATAGTTAGAAAGAATGTTCGGTCGTCTCAGAGTTTTTGGTGAGGCATTGAATTGGCTGCTGGAAATTTTACCGGATTGATGTGGGCATCTAGCCAGGAGAAACGTCAAGATGAGAAGAAATCTTGGTAAATAAGTGTGGGGTCAACATTGTTGAGATAAGATATTCCGGCCCGCATAAGGGTTAAAGGCACGGAATAAATAAGTTGCCCGTCTAGTCAGGTTGAAGATCGGGAAGCAACTGGTTTACCTGCGGATAACGTCAAGACGATAAGAAGTCTTGGTAAGGTGTGAGGTCGACATTGTTGAAATAAGATATTCCGGCCCGCATATGGGTTCAGGGCACGGAATAAATGAGTTGCCCGTCTAGTTAGGTTGAAGATCGGGAAGCAACTGGCTTGCAAACGCTGGCCGTTTGAGACGCCGCGAAACGCGCGGGAAAAAATTCAAAATCTGTTAGTCTGACTTCATCAGTAGGAGCTAGCGAAGTTCTTCCTCCAGGTTACTGCTACGTCTAGCTGTGAGAGGAAGGAAGGGGTGCAAACCGCGCGCACACACGCACGAGTGTGAAAGGAAGGGAGGAAACTCGCGCGCGCGTAAAATATAGATGGAATTAATGTGTTAATTCCATAAGTTAGTGAAAAAAAAATTAAATAAATAAGTGAACCAATTGTTTTTTGTTTTTTATCTTATAGGCCTAGCTTTAATACGGATATAAAATCTTTACTTTTAATAAATTAAATAAATTGAAATAATTCCATTTTTTCCGGAAATATCGAATGAAAATTGAAAATTAATATTATTTTGTGCAGTAACTTTATTTAAAATTCAAAAATGGTCATTTTTTTTTTTCAATTTTCAAGCTCTCACGGTCGTAAAACAAGTTAATGTTTTATTTTTTGTTTAGATAGTTGAAGTTTTATTAAGCAAAGTAGATTAAGAATTAAAAGTATAACATTTATTTCAGTTTTTAAAACTGAAATTAATTTTATCGAACTGTTAATTCTTAGTCTACAACTCTGCTAATAATAACTTCAGCTACGTAAAACAAAATAATTTTAAAAAAGACACTGCATTTTTTACATCTAGAAATAGAAAACGAACAGTGTTTCTGTTAACGTGGCATTTAATTTATGACTCCTTGTTAGAACTGAAATAAATATGAAAAAAAAACTGATAAATTATGAATTAAAAGTACAATGTGTTTTTTGTTTTTCATTTTAAATAAAACAGAGGGTATATAAACAAGTTATCTTTCTTTTAATACCGTAAAATAAAAAGTTTTTAAGGTTTTCTCGGTTTAGAAAAAAAGAAGTAAGGTTTTTGTTTTTTTTTTTTTTACATATCTCAAAAAAAAAACACAATTGTAATTTTATTTCATAATTTATAAGTGAGGAGTTATAAATACCATATTAACGGAAACACGGAAAAAAATTGATATCATACGGGCATTAGATTCTGAGAAATGGATAAAAATATTCAAAATTGATGGGTTTACGAATAATTTCGTCGTTGTGTGTGTGTGTGTGTGTGTGTGTGTGTGTGTGTGTGTGTGTGTGTGTGTGTGTGTGTGTGTGTGTATAAATATAAAAGTGAACATTTATGGGATAAAGTGCTCAATATCAGATACAGAGCGTGTGTAAATATAAAAGTGAACATTGAAGTCAACAGTTAGAGGTGACAGGCTATTTCATCCTAGATGAAATCGTCAGTCAAACTCACATCAGGCCTGACGATTGCATCTAGCATGAAACAGACTGTCGCCTCTAAGTGTTGACTTCGATGTTCACTTTTATATTTGCAGACGCTCTATCCCTGATATTGAGCACTTTATCCCATAAATATAACAAATCTTTATATTTATTTATATATATATATATATATATATATATATATATATATATATATATATATAACTTTAAGGGGTTAATGTGCATTGTAATATTGTATTCCTTTTAGGGAGGGGCAGAAAACTTGATGGCCACCCCGGCGGCAAAAAGAACACTAGCTACGCCACTAAAATTAAACAAAACAAGAAAGAAAAAGTCTAACAACTGCATTAAAAAAATGCCAGAAGTCAAGGAACTACGCGAATTAAATTAAATTTGCAATATCTATTCAATTAATTAATGAATGACTTTTATATTGAACAGATTATTTTATGAAAAAAACATTGTGTAAATATTTACGAGGGAAGGGTCATGTTCATCACCGCCTTCCTGATAGTGTACTTTTAAAATGGCAGGTATTCGCGATTTTTTTTCTCTACAGTCAGTTATGTGTCATGCGTAATACACGCTTAGACGATTATGTATCTTTCGATACATGACTGACGAGGCAGATTTTTTTCCTGCAGTAGGTTGCCATTTCTTTCTGCAGTAGACCAGTTGCCATTCAAGGCTATAGAACCCGGTCTGTCCTGCGATTTACCCATAGCTTTGGACGGGGAGAAGAAGTCGAATCATACCTTTCCCAAGGGTATTAGCACGTAAGTGAATGTAATGGATTTGACTGAAATTCAAACTCAACTCTCCGATTCCTCAATCCCAGCAAGCTGCTATCCATTACTCCACTATGCCTCCATTACTTGCATTATTTACATTATTTGGACTGTTATCGTCATCTTTGTTGCCATATTCAATAGACTCGACTGGAATTCGAACTCGGCTCTCCGATTTCTCAATCTGAGCCGCTGTCCATTACTCAAAAAAAAATGATGTCTAATATATAAATATACGAAATAATTAAAAAAATAAGATTAAAATTTTTTTTTAGAGACGAGTTTGAATTCAGTTAGGTGCGTAAAAATTCATTTATATCTTATGTATTCATCTCTTCTTACCCCCGCCCTGCCAACTATGCATGTTGAGTAACTGGACAGACGAGGTCCTATATAGTTATATTCTTTTGTTGGCAACCAGTCAACAGTATAAAACGGCAACCAACTGCGTGAAAATATTCTATCTCGTCAGTTATGAATCAAAAGAGACATAATCATCCAAGTCAAGCGTTTATCACATATGGCATTTTTTTAACTGACTCACTGAAAACCTCTTTTGTCAACCATTTCGTTAGATCTATTCTGTTTTTTTCCTCTGTCCCTCTACCTCGCAAGAATTCTAACCATTTCTACCACATCAAAGTCCAGTTGATTCCAACAGACATGTTTGATGCTAAAACTATTACATCACGTCTAAATGCTCAGAGTTAGTAAAAGAATAAGTAACAAACACTATTATTTTTTTTTGTAGTATTTTAGTTTACTTTTTATTTCATAATTTATTTAATTTTTATTTCAACTTTTCTGCAACCATTTTTTTTTCATTTCAACGATGTTTTTTTTTAATTCTGTCATGAAAATTTCCTTAAAATCCGACAATTAAAATAGAAATTACGTGCTTGAAAAAGTAAAAAAAAATGTTTTTTTCTACGATTTTTTTCTTTTTGAAAAAGGGTTTGCGCATGATAATTATTTAGAAAAGAACTTTCAATTGTTTCTTTAACAAATCTAGGTAAATTTGCTTTTCAATCCCCAAATTAAATATCTATTAATTAGGTTTCATTGTATTTATTTAATTTGTTTTTTTTTAAAGTTTTCTGTTATAAAAAACTAAAAAAACTTTATTTATTAAAAGAAATATTTTTTTTTGTCAATGCTTTACGATAGTGCGCAGTAATTTCGAAACATAACAGCAGTGGAAGCAGTAAATAGGCCAAAAAGTTACAAATAAAAAACGGAAAAGAACGTAAAGTGATATTGTAGTGAATATAATTTCACAAAGCTGCTTTAATGGTGGGCGAATGAAAACGATTAAAAAGTTTTTTGTTTTTTTTTTTGGTCGATAACGGTTGGTTTTATCATAATTGTAATTATTAATTCGGAATTGAATTCAGCAAACATTTAAACAACGGACATATAATGATTTCGTGAAATTTTAATAGATATTTAGTTTGGGGATTGAAAAGCAAATTTAAACCAATTTAATATAAAAAAATCTATTATTTAATAAAATTGAAAATAAAAAAAAATGAAACAATACTTTTAATTGGTAAAATTATTTAATTTTTTTACCAATTTAAATAAAAACTATCTTAATTAAATACAATAGAACATGTTTAATGCTAACTAATTACAGCATGTCTAAAAGTTTCAAGGGTTAATAAAGAATAAGCAATAAAGACTTTTTTTTTTTTTGTAAAATTGAAAAAAAAAAAAATTTTTTTTTTCTTTTATAATTTAGAAGGTTTTTTTAACGCAATTTTTTCTGGGAATTGATTCTTTTCTACACAGAAAAGATCGCACAAATCAGAAAACATTCTGTTCTCGATTAAATTCGAACTCGCGAAGTATTTTCCTCGGGAAGGTTTCCTAAATTCCCAGCTATTCTGCTAGAATTAACAGCCATCAGAAACCCCAAATAAACCTCTTTTTAAACCCATAATATCCCACGTCCTTCGTCAGCGCCATATTTGTTTTCTGTTCTTACACTCGTGTATGGCATTGTAATATTTTCATTGATAAAATAAAATTGCAGGCAACATAGTTATTTATCATCTCTTGTCTTTTCCTTTTTTTCCTTTCTTTTTGCCACCTTTTTTTCCCTTGCCACCTGAAATTGATTTTGTTTTTTGTTTGCTTTCCTGAAGCAGGCAAATGTTCAATCGAAAAATACATATAGCCGAGTTCGTGTCTCCTTTTACATACTATGTCACGCCAGGATCATAGATCTCTACAACTTCCAAACTTTTGTTGCTCTAAATTTTTGCACTTTACCATCCATTTTTTTGTCCTTGTTCCGCTATCCATGGATGTGCAGGTGGTGTTCATGGATAGCGTCTCTGAACAAAAAATCGGAAGAACCGAGTTCGAATTCCAGTCATGTTCACTACATCTATTTACAAAAATACTAAAAAAATGTTTTATTTTTTTATTCAATTCGCTCTTTTAATTTGTCATTACCATTCTAAACGGAAAAGAGGCTACGAGGAATGAAAAAATAAAAATAAAAAAAAAAAAAAACCTTTAACCCAATACCAAACAAGGGAATCCTGGGAATGTAGCTGATACCCCAGCTGTGGGTTAAATAGTAAGGCTTGCATCTGGAAAAATCATTGGAATCCCCTACCAAAAAAAAATTGATGTATGACGAATTCCCAACAAAAAATAATTATACTGTCGATAACTCCAAAAAATGTTTCTTCTTTAAATAAACAAAAAAAAACGTTGATAAGTTCAAAAAACAATCAATGTTATGCCATCCATTAATACAAAATTTTGAAGGGTTATTTGCTCCCCGCCTCTTTGCTTACTATCAGTTTGTCCTGTAAAGTGTTAAATTCTCCAGGAAAACATTTTTTCAATGTTCATCAGAAATGTCAATGTCTTTTTCTGATTGAAAAAATAGATTTTTTTTTGGCAGATTTTTCCTTTTTTTTTCTTTAAATTTTCCTAAAGCTGTTCTCTCCTAGTATTGAGGATAAGGAAATAATATTTTTGTTTTAGGTTTTTAAAATCATTGAAATTGAGATTAAATTTTTCAAAAAGACAACTAAAAGTATTGAGAAAAGTTAAAAAATATCGTTGTTAAAGAAACTCTTAATTTATGAAAGTATCAGTCCTCCTCCTGTTTGGCAGCAAATGATGGACAATCTCCTCACAGATGAAGAAAGGACTTAAAGCAAAAAAATATTTCTCCAGAAGGATGCTGAGAATAAAAAAAAAAAACATTGAACAACGACAAATTTCTAGAGACAATTTAAAACAAGGACATTTCATTCATAAGATCAGGAATATTGAAAATTTTGGCCCACCTAATGTGGAAAAAGTTTTTGGAAAATATGATCTGACAGGACAGATGGAAGATAAAAAGAAACAGAGGAAAGCAATGCATATTTTTCGGCAAGATAACTTTTTTGAATGGATGGCAACTACTTTTAAATAAAATTTGGCAAAAAAAATATTAAATTTATTTTAATAATTAAGCGTTTTGACGATAAATTCTCGAGAATTTCCTGTCATTATAAGATGCTCATTTTTAATGAATCAGTGGAGGTACATAAATTATTTAAAATGCGTTTTTGCATAGAATTTTTTTTTTCTAAAATTCAAAAATTTCACGCTCAGATCAATGATGTAAAAACGATTTCAGACCGACTGAGATCTTTTTTTTTGTAATTATTCAAATGAGTGGACCACTTTATTTCCATCAGTTGTGAATTTCTTAAACATGGCGTAGGACTTCCAGGTATCTCAAAATATGAAAGCTATTTCATCAAAGTTTGCCTTTAAGAATATACGACGTATATTCTTATATGGAAATTTTAAACCCTGACAATAGTGTCCCGTTTTTTTTACCGAATTAACATCTTTTGAATTTTCATTTTTTTCTTCATTGGTTTTTTTTTTAAAGGCGATTTTAAAAACAAATCAATAAAAAACATTTTCTTTTTTTTTTAATTAAATTTAAATTTTGAAATTCTCCTCTCTCTCTTTTTTCCAGTTTCTCTCTCTTCTTCTCCTCTTGCGATTTATTCTCTTATTTTCTTCTAAAAAATTAATATTCTCTCTCTTTTTTTTTTCTGGAGGTAGTTCTCTCTAAATCTTCTTCTTCACATTTTCATTCTCTCTCTTCTTCTCCTTTTCCTTCTCTAAAAATCTTCTTCTCTTTTATTTCTTCTCCTCTTATTTTTCTCTTCCTTCTCTCTCTCATTAAATTTTTCATCTCTTCCTTCTCTCTCAGAGAGAATCTTCTCTCTTCCTTCTCTCTCTCAGGAAAAAATTCTAAGACTTTTCAATCTTCTTCTTCCGAACTCGTTCTCTCAAAATCTTCATTCTCTCTCTTCTCTTAATGAACTCTCTCTCTCTCTCTCGTATTTTCCTTATTCTCTAAAAATTATAAACTTCGTTCTTTCTCTCTCTCTTCCTTTGTTCTCTCTCTCTCTTTTAAAAAAATGGGGGTGGGGAAGGAATTCTCTCTCTCTTTTCTCAATCGTTTCTCTCTTCCCTTGTTCTCTCTCTCTCTTTTCTCTTGTTCTCTCATCTTCAACAAGTCTCTCGTTTTCAATTAATTCTCTCTCGTCGTCGTAGTTTTCTCTTTTTTCTCTAAAGTTTTCTTTTTTTTATTTTTTCTTTCAAGATGATTTCTTATATTTTCTCTCTCTCTCTCTCTTCTCTCTTTATTTCGTTTTTCTCTCATTTCTCTTCGTTCTCTCTCTCTTTTCTCTTCGTTCTCTCTCTTCCCTTCGTTCTCTCTCTCTTTTTTTCGTTCTCTCTCTTCCCTTCGTTCTCTCTCTCTCTTTTCTCTTCGTTCTCTCTCTTCCCTTCATTCTCTCTCTCTCTTTTCTCTTCGTTCTCTCTCTTCCCTTCGTTTCTCTAATTTTTTTCTTCGTTCTCTATTTCTTTGATTCTCTCTCTTTTTTCTCTCTTCGTTAAATTCTCTTTGTTTTAAGAATTTTCTCTCTTTTCTCTAAGATTCTCTCTCTTCTCTTCGTTCTCTCTCTCCGTTCTCTCTTCTCTTCGTTCTCCCTCTCTCTCTCTTTTCTCTTCGTTCTCTCTTCTCTTCGTTCTCTCCCTCTCTCTCTCTCTTTCTTTGTTAAAATTCTCTTCGTTCTTTTCCATTTGATTTTTGATATTATAGGCAAGAATTGTTGAACATATTTTTAAGGACGTATAACGTCAAATAGTTTGTAAATGCTATTTTCTTAAGTGTTGGGGTTACCAATGTAAATGGTGTTTTGTTGAAAATACTAATGTGGCTGCGTGTTGAAGAGCATTTAACATTTATACATTTTTTTAAATCAAGGAAAAACAATGGAAAACCGATTTGTGTTTCAACGACAAAATATATATATTAAAATCAACAACAAATACAAGGTAATTTTTGTAATGTGTGAATAAGGAGAAAAAAGTAGTTTCCCTTTATCTGTTAGTTGAATATGGTGATATTTAAATAAGCAAGTTTTCTGAATATAATGTTCAGAGTTCTGTATTGAAATAAAATGTGTATTTAGAAGAACATACAGTAAGTTTATTTGTATATTTGTTATAACTAACAGAGTTGTTGCAACATGGCTTGTTCACAAAGAACTGATGGTGAATGATATTCAAGTTCTGTGTCTGTGTGTGTGTGTGTGTGTGCGTGCGGAATGAGTAGAATGAATAATCTGTGTGAGTAGTTGAGTTCTACTGTCTTCAACTGTCTTCAACTCTACTGGTTTCAATTCTACTGTCTGATTTGGGAATGAATCCGAACTTATATTACTATCGGTGGCTCCCAGCACGAACACGGGATAAATTTTGAAAAAACACGAAAAATATCTGATTGGATGAAAAATTAACCAATCGGTGATTTTATAACAAAAGCATGTTTGTGAGTTAACAGTAGGAAAAATTCAGGGTGGTGAATGCGATCAGTAAATTGTCCTGTGATATTTAGTATATATTATTTGACCAATCACAGCTGAGAAAAATGTAGGTGTGGCAACATAGTAGTAATCACTACAAGTTCCCTTGTTTCTTTTGCAGGCCCGATAGGTTTTTAGATGTTATTTTTACTTATTGATTTCAAACAAAAATCAACATAGAAGAAATTTAATTTAATTTTAATACCTTCCAATTTCTTACTATTTGACATTTGCGTAAGCAACAGCAATAGCAACAACAACAACAATAATAATGATGATGTCTAATTCCCACCCACAGAAAATGTAATAAAGAAAAAGTATATATTTCTAGTTAAACTACCTTGTATACTCTTAGTTTTCCTCGTTGTTATGCTCAACATTTCGACAGTTATAAAACTTCTGGCCTTCTTCAGGTGACTGTCGCGTCGTCCTTGTTATCGACTCGGCCCTGTTTAGGACTTTCGCCTACGTCAAGTGCTACCCTTCGGCGCAATCCCGTCTCCGCGGTTGATCAACCCTGTGAAGTCGTATCACTATTCCGACTCGACCCTGTTTAGGGACTCCGCCTTCGTCAAGTGTTACACTTCGGCGCGATCCCGCCTACGTGGTTGATCCGCCCTGTGAAGTCGTAACACTATACTGACTCGGCCCTGTTTAGGGACTCGTCCTAACCGATACAACGAATCTTCGTGCGACATCGATCAACCTGCTGCTGTTCCTGACAATTCTCCCGTCCGGCAGTCGACCAGCTACCGCCGACGTTCAACTCTACATTCGTTTCGCCGAAACGAGATTGTACCAACACACATGAAAATTTGAGCAGTGTCGGACTAGTATAAAAAGGCGAGGCGCCAGCGGCACAGCAGAAGGCGAGTCATTTTCGGTGGACTTAGTGAAACAGAGTCGGGCGTGCGAATAGATTGGCAGACCAAGAGGCGGTTGAAGTGGGCGCGTTTGATTTGGGTGTCCGTTTCACGACTGCCCGGTGTAACGGCCGAGAAAAGGAGTCTTGCAATTCATTTCTTTGAGGCGACCAACGGTGAAGAAGAACAGCTGGTTTGCCGGCGAACCCTCTAGTCACTTTTTTGTTTCTCTCTCTTCTTTTTGCTACAAAGATACACGAGATAATTTTAATATCTATTGTCCAATGAGAAATGAAGGTTTTCAGAAGCATGTATCAAGCTGTGATCCGCTTTTTGCACGAAAATCGACATTGATGAAAAAGTGGTAGCGGAAAGCTAAATCAGGAATACAAACTTAAAATTTAAAAAAAAAAAAGTTTATAAATTAAAGTTCTTTTGTGGAATTTTTCGACTCTCTCTCCTCTCCTTTTTTTTATTCGTGTTGTTGTTTTTTTTTTTTAAACTTTACGTGGGTATCGTCGATTCTAATACATATGAGAAACCTCTCTTTTTTTTTAAAATCCAAACTGGTATTCTGATCTCCTCTCTGCTGGACTACATGGTTCGTGGGCAAGAGAAGCAAAAAGAGGAAGAGTGAAGATTTACTGCGTATTTATAACCAACGTGGTCACGTGATAGGCTCCAGGGAGCATTTCTGATTTTGGCGGAAAAATGGCGTTCTTTCACAGATTTTTGTCGATCGGAGTGCTGTTACGTAGTAAATGTATTGGAATCTTTTTTTAACCAATGGAATTAGATCACAAATAAAATATTATTATATTAAAGTAGGACACTAAAAACTCTCTACTGTATACTGATTAAGAAAAATGTCAGACAATACCTAAATCTACCTTAGTGGCATAGCTAGGGTGCCTGGCACTGATCTAATAACTAGCTTCATCTGTAGGTCTACATAACTAAATTTAACTAACAGTTTTCTTAACTTGCACAATTGTAAAGCTTATCCATTCATATATTCGCAAATTATCAATACCTGGTAATTAATACTGCGTCAAAAATTCATAATCTTAAATAACCACAACATATCCTACAAATGTTCAATGTTGTGATTGAATCTGAGTTTTACCGCTTAATGACTAATAATGTATACATAGTCCTATACCTGGGTTCATCCAATAATCATGTCATTGCTATTAATTGTACTACAGTAGGTCTATTGTTACTTCTAACTATTTTTCATATTTTCATTCATGTTTAAATTGAGCTAGTTGCAATAAAATTGATTTATTTTTAAAAAATTTAACTTTTTTTAATGTCAGGAACACAAACTTACTAATAATTATTAATAATTTCTCTGTGGCTGAATGATTAATAGCACGTCAGGCCAAATGACAGTTTCCATATGAAAGCAGGTTCGATTCTTGTCGGAGAACATATATTTTCTACAAAATTTCTCGAAAATTCATGACAGTAAATGTAATTAATACTGTTTAATTAAAACAGAGCATTTACTCAAGTTGCATCCAGATAAATAGCGCACAAGCGTGTGTATGTATATAGACATACATACACACCCCCATATATATATATATATATATATATATATAAATTAGTAAAGTCGAAATTACTGCTTACAAACACCCATCGTCGATGATCTATCATTTCTGCTCCAAAATGTAATCTAACGTAAACAATGACAACATATTAGATGATTAGATGAAATGGATTAAATCCGACAAATATATTTTTCTGTTTTTATACACACACATATGTGTCTGTATGCTTGTTTGTGTGTGTGTCGGGGGGGGGTATGTATGTATATATGCATACACACGTATATATATATATATATATATATATATATATATATATCAGTGTCGACATTAGGTTGTCACTCTTTGTCGGACTCATTACAATCTTTAACAAAATACAGTAAAGGAATCATTTTAACATCTAACTAAAATATATAATTTTAAAAAATCTGTGCATTAAATTTAAAAAAAACACATTTTGCTATTTAAATAAAATTGTAATTTGAATAAAAAATAAATGTTGCAATGTAATGGCGAGTTAGATTCTCAGAGAAGCAAAAAAGTGCTTATGTTTTATATTTTATATTGTAATATTTAGTCTTCCCCCGATTTCAGCTCTGTTGAGTGATGGCGAAACCGGTCGGCTGGTTAATTTATTTTTTTTAAATCATGAACGGTTAAGCTCATCTTGCTGTTTTTATTTCGATTATATACATATATATATATATATATATATATATATATAATGTTCTTAGGGGCACAGAATTTTATTATGGAAATAAAAACCGCAAGACGAGCTTTACCATTCATGATTTTAAAAAAAATGACCACCTTATAAATAATCCTAATTGTGCCACCAATTTCATTATTGAGTCTTTCTCCATTTATAATCATGCTCATTCTGTTTTACATTTAAAGGCATTGGAAACGATCTATGTCAGGTCCAGACAGCCCTCCCTCCGTAAACAGAGGGAATGTCTGTTAGGGCTTGACATGATTTCTATCTGATTGTTCTGCCTTTATTTCATTACATGCTTCTTTTTTTATTTTATATTGTAGTATTTAGTCTTCCCCCGATTTCAGCTCTGATGAGTGAGGCGAAATGATTCGGCTGGTTAATTTTTTTTTAAATCATGAACGGTTAAGCTCATCTTGCTGTTTTTTATTTCGATTTATATATATATATATATATATATATATATATATATATATATATATATATATATATATATATATATAGATTGCAGCTAGGGCTGAGGAATCGGAGGCAGAGTTTGAATTCAGTCGAATTCATTACATTCATTCACATGCTAATAATTTTGGGAAAGATATGAATCAGTCTACCCCTCCCCAAAAGCTATGGGTAAATAGCAGGACGGGCAGGGTTCTTTATCCTTGAGTGACAACCTGTCTAGGAGCATGACAATTCTGAAGAGAGCTGCTTAACCCTCATATGGGGGAAAACGACTGGAGAGTCCAGTGTGTGTGTGTGTGTGTGTACATTATATATATATATATATATAACTGCGTGGCAAAGAAGCCATTAAAAGTTAGCAATTATGAATGTGTGTGTGTGTCGTGTCGTGTCACCCGGGGAAATATGCCCGCCATAACGGGGACAATGTCCCAGTTGGTGATGTCATTGCCGCATATTAGAAAGAAAACCGGAGTGTCCTGTTTTTATAGCTGCCACCTGATGACGCCTTAGCGAATTTACCAAATCCATTTGGCGAATACTCATATTATCAATTGCTTGTCTGTTCATTTAATTTCCACGAAGCAATTCGAAAAAACACTGGAGAGAAGGAAAGCGGAGGTAAGGAT